CTTTAAAATTCTTTTGCTTAGTTTTCAAATGGAGAGAACAGAACAGATCAGTCTGACCCAGGAGACATAGCTGTAGTCTCAAAGTGACGATTATTGTTAGAAAATTATTCCACAGAGGAGATTTAGAAAGATAAGTTCTCTTTCCACAGAATAGGCATAATTGAATGTTTACTTCTTTACTTGAGTTCTTGAGGAGTGGCTTTCTTAGTATGCATAGTCTGAAAGCCAAGTTCTCATTTTAGGATGTAATTTAAACTGAATTGCGCACAGGAGCCTGAATTCATCAATTTAACAGAGTTACAAGAGAACAATATGACAGTTTTGAATTTTGCTTTCAATGAGGAGAGGAGATCAGAGGAAACTCTGATAAGCTTTTTGGCCTCAGTTGCTTAACACCCCAGCCATCTGACTTTGCACTTTCAGAAGCTCCTCTCTATTAGACTGATGCCTTAGTATTACTTTTTTTTATGTAAAACCTTTGACTCCCAACAATACAGGAGTTATGAAATAGAAAATAATTTAAAATGGCTTATTTTTAGAATGAGTAAACATGGTTTGCCTCATTGCTGTGGCACTCATGTAGAATGCACATTCCTAGTCTCTAGCAATAAGTAAATATTTATTTTGCAGAAGCTGTTTTTCAAAACCTTGTTCATAAGCTGTCCATTAGTCACATAGAGCTTGAATGTGGGCATAGGTATTTGTTGCCAGAATTTCTGATGTTTTGTGTCAAGTCACATGTTCCTTATATCTATAATTTACTTTCTATGCAGTTTAAAGCTCTGATTTGTTTTGTAAAACACGATGTGTAGTCTATGTGTCCTTGAGAATGTGTTCACCCCTCTTCCCACCATTTTAGTTCCAGGATTTTCTCCATTAACAGTCATAGTTTGGACTGAAAGAAGATCAAATTAAGGTCTTTGCTTCTGGAACTCATCCCAGATTTCAGCTACTCACACTTTGGGTATAATAATTTTTGTGCATTTTATGAAGAACACCTTGTATGCAGGCTGTTGTGTGCTCCTGACTTTCCCTCAATCCAAGATCAAAATTTAATTTCTTTCACTTTGCAGTAACTGCTGAGTATAACAATTTGAAGACCCAATTTAGGCTCTATTGAAAGAAAGATTTCTTTATTGGCAGTTTTACAGAAGTAGCGAAGACTCTTAAATAAAAGCCAGTATAGATATTAAAATAAGTGTGACTGGAATGTAAACCAAAAGGGCTTTGTCAACCTGTTCCTAATACTACGTTGCAAAATATGTCTTAAAATTGTCGTACAGGGCAGAATGTCTTGCCTCACACTCCTTGAGAAGTGTTTCTGTCTGTGGGTGTTTCTGAGGATTCTGGGTGATATAATCCATAGATTCTGGCAGGTCATTATATATGCCTTAGTGAATAATTAGGAAGATTCCCATCCTGACTGATCAAATTTAACTTGCATTTAACGTTTCTTTTTGGAGAACAGCTGAATTGGTCTACATTTACATGTAAACTGATTCACCTAGGCTCGAAGCTTAAGACCAGGACAAATAGATATGACTTACCAAAGAAGATGAGGACTCTTGAGCTCCTCTGTGACACAGGGCTGTGATGATGCAACCCTTCTGAGGTCAGATTTGGTCTGTCTCAGCCCCTACTGTGGGAAACCTCTCAAACCAATTCATTCTTTCTTGTTCCATCTTTGGCTACCTGACAAGCAAAGCTTCCAGCCATTTTCTTCTGGTGGGTAGTCAGATTTTTCACGTGTGGCAGCAGGAACCTGGAAGTGTACAAACCTTTGAGGGCCAGTTGGGGAAAGCTCGTACGTAAGGAGGGCTTTATCTGTTCGACTGTGTTATTTCAAGCACTCATTCTATGATTGCCCCACCAGATTCCTGGAATCTGCTGCTTTGGCTGGGTCTCATCAGAACATCAGCCTGGTTTTGCCACATTTAAAGCTATTCTGTGCTCATTCCTTCTATCATATTGACTTACATTCACTTGACTTCTTTGCATAATACTTACCAAAATTCAGTGCATTTAAACATGTATTTGTGCTGGGAAAAGCTTTGGGTTGCTCTCTCACTCAACAGGATGATTACCTACATGTTTAATTTCTAAGCCACCTGGTCATTTCCAGTGAAGAATATGTTTACAAGCATGCTTTAGTCTTGTTGAGCCCCCTAAGCATTCTTCAGATGCTTTAAGTCAATGTTACATTAACTTGGAGCTTTACGAATAGCAAGTTGGAGAAGAGGTCAGAGGCAAAATAACTGAAGATTCATAGTGCAGTGGAGATGTGCTAATGCTGATTTGAGGAGGAATTTTAATAATCTGAATTTTCCTTTTTCTTTTCTTTTTTTTCCCTCCCTCTGTCTGAGTAGAGGGAATTCTTCACTGACACAGCTTTCACTGTGGACACTTGAGAAGTTTGTGGTCTGAGGGCTGATAACTGTACAAGGATCATCCAAAAGACAAGTTTGGTGACTAGGTGTTTATTCATGGCTCAGATGACAATGCTCAGAACTGCTAGCAGATAGAATTTTTTTGTCTGGTACAAAGTGCAAAGACCTGTGATGTATGCCAGTCCTTCTTAAAAAAAAAAAAAAGAAATTGCCAATATAAAATCAAAACATTCATTGCAGAACTAAAGTACATAACAAATCAATTAGGTATATATTGTGAGGGGAAAAAATATTACAATGAAAACCATTCTTATATCAAAGTATTAAAAAAGCACAAGTCTTAAGTGTAAAGCTCTGCTAATCAGAATATTGTTCTGCTTATATTCTGTCACATTCTTTTTTTTCCCCTGTCTGATCTACCAGTAATAATACAGTATGATTACCAGTAATTACCAGTAATGTATACCATCATGTATACTTAAATGAGCATCAGTGAATTAATTAACACTGATGCTTAATCTGGCATCTTTAGGTTTCAGGTTTAATGCTTCTGTTGAAATTAAGCAGTGACCATTCAGAACCCTCATGGATATTGCTACAGGTGCTCTACTTTACCTCTGGAGAAGGGGATGGATTGTGTCAATCAGCCTACAGAAATACCCATTTTATGAGAAAGTCTGGCACTTCTGAAATGAATAGTTTTGTCACTGAGGCAGGAGCCGATGATCTAGGAAAGGCAAGCTGGAAATTTGGGGATGCAACAAGATTGCAATGAATTATCTTTCCTTTTTACATAGCCATAAAAATGTAATTACTGTAATATATGGGTATATGGAGAGAAATAGTACTTTCAACATGGAAAAGAAACAGTTTATGGTTTATGCTTAAAATCAAAACTCAAAATCCTACCCAAACACAAATTTCAATACATTCTGTGGCATCACTATTTCTTCTATAAAAATAACTCAATCAACAGTAGCAAGCTTTGCAGTTCTTCATGTAATAGCTCAAAGTCTATTGCTTGATATAAGCATATTGTTTGGAGCAGCTCTGCCACGAGATACCTTTTCGGTTCACACCTGGTCCTCTGTTTCTTAGGACTTCCACAATTCAGTTGACAAACTGTCTGCTTTCAAAGGTCAGAAAGTGCAAAATCTTGCTTTATGAGGACACAAGAAGGGACAAGGCAAAATACCTAGACTCCTCTGTGAAGTACTCTTAAAAAGTTAACTAAATTCCCGTGGCATTGCAATACTGCTGAGGCTGCAGGTGAGACTCAGAGAGGTTCTGCTGAGGACCTGTTTTTCCAGAAAAATAGGCAGGTTCAAGTGAATTAATAGAATTGAAGTGATGAGTGTGTCTCTTTTCCCAAGCTTGTTATGCCTGCCTCTGTTTAAACAGGACTTGGGCTTGTTTTAGTCTCAACATTGAACATGACAGCATACATAAGGATGTCAGCCGTGCCCAAATAACAGGAACTGTCTCCTTTCTGATAGCAGAGACAGGGGTCAGAAAGGAGACTTCTACTTCCAGCATCCTCCATGATGGTGGGGAAGCTGCCAAGCTCAAGGTTTCAAAAAAATTAACTTAAATTAATACTGGCCAGGGAGGGACTGGTGTAGCCCTGGTCTAGATGCACAGCTGCAAGATGACTCGGGAGCACACTACCAGTGCTGATGGTGACGAGTCAGTTCTGTCACACATGCACACATCCTTTCAGCATAAGTGTATTTATTTAGGCATTTGTTTAAGTTTTTAAAAGCTCTGAGCCTTTGCCAGGGCTTCTGGGCTCCCAGCTTATTTCAAAATCAGTAGGATGATGGCTAAACATAGAGTTGGTTCCTGGTGTGGAAAAAATCCCTGTTTAATGACTCAGTGCTCCTGCACTGTAAATGAAGGAAGGTATGAATATTTACTTTCCTGAAAGAAATGTTGCATCATTAATATCCATACAGTTCTTCTTTATTAAATATGCTCATCTTTTCATATTTGGTGCTGCATAAAAGAGAATTGTGTATGTGAGAGCAGTGGCTTTTCCCAGGAGCAGCAGCTCAGAAGTTCCCTGGTTGGAGGTGTAATGCTAATGCGACAGTGCCTCACATCCCGTTGCTCTGTTTCTTCCAGAAGCCTCAAAAGAGGCAATTATGATCCTTTGAAATGCTGGTAATGATGTTAGTGCTGCATAGGCTTGACTTGGTCTGTGAGACCAAGGAAAATATTCTGAACAGGGAATTCATGTGTCTCTTTTTAAACACAAGTCAGTCAAGTGTGGAAACGCTCAGCTCTAATGATAGTAAACGGAAGTGGTGTATAGCGTTACGTAGCATTTCTCAAGCCTGGCTGAAACTTTGGATACAAAACACCATGGCTGTGGCTTTGCTTTATTACAACTTTTGGTTCCTGGACATAGTGATGTGCTCAGTCTTGCTGCAGTTTTTGATGGAAGTAGAATCTGTCCTGTAGCCTTTAGATCTTTCATTTGGCAGCTGTAGGATTTTCTGTCTTGTCACTTCCCCTTTTTTTTTTTCCTCTTAGGCGAACATTTTATCAGTAATTTTCCATGTTGTGAACTTAAGCTCTTGAATTTTTATCTTGTTTGTTTGTGTATTGCAGCTGGTGCTCAGGATAAAATTGGCTGGGCATTTGGCTTGGGTTTGGAGAGGCTGGCCATGATCCTGTATGATATCCCTGACATCCGACTGTTCTGGAGTGAAGACGAACGCTTCTTGAAACAATTTATTGGGCCTCACATTTGGCAAAAAATAAAGTTCCAGGTAAAATAACAAATATATGATAATAATTTACTGTCAGTTAGAAGTATGTGTATCCCTAGAGAATATCACATAATTGAAATTCTGTACCATTAACTAATTAGGTTTTAAAGCAACAGCTTTACAGCTATCACGATTCTCTGATACACTGCAATAAAATCCAGCTTTTGATGATAACATTTTTTTCAACCAGATAATATTGTAAGTTCCTGCTGATACCCAGTGAACATCCCTGGTATGAGTAATGCTTAAGCACATATTTAACTTCTAAATATATCCAGAATAGGGACTGATTAAGACCTATGTCTGATTTGATTATGTTCTTGAATTGTGTCTCAAGAATTCTGTTTCATTATAAATATGTGTCTGATGAAGATCATTCAAAGATCATAACACATTCACAGTTTTTTCCCATTGTTTTCACTCTACATTCATTGAAGTCAATGTGAGTTTGCAATGTTAAACTTTGGCAAAATGCTTTGTGAACGTGTCTCGCCATTTTCAAGATGTCAGCTCTTTTCCCCAGGTGACTGGTGGGGAGAGTGCAGGCTGAGCTTGTATTTGTTTTGTAACTCCTCTACTGAGGTGATTTTGTAGTTAACAACTTCATCTTACTTTTCTGTATTTACAAAGCAATCAGGCATAACTGTATTGAGTGGAATTGCTACTTTCATAATACTCTTCAGCATCAGCATGGGAAGGTTCAAGTCAGGTGTCATCAGCTGGTCTTTGAGAGAGTTGAGCTGATGTAGCTTTGTAGATGCTTGGTGAAGTCTGAAGTGCTAAAGCAGCAAAATACTTTTTGCTGCTGCCTTTTACCATTTTACTTGCTTTCTTTGTAAACAGCTTGATTATGTTCTTTTAAGAACTGAAAATATAAAAGGGGAAATCAACAGTGTAGCACTTAGGTGATGTTTGACTAGTCTCTACATTGAATCAGTAGCAGCATCCTTTTTTTTTAATTCATGGCAATTCCCACACATCTTCTCTGGTATAGTCAAAATAGTGTTTGAGCTAGGTTTGGTGGGCGGGTTTTGGTTTTTTTGGTTGCAGTTTTTTGATTTGGGTAAGAGTTTGGGAATTTTTTTTGATTGGTTGGTTTTGGTTGGGTTTTTTTTTTTTCTTTGGTGATAGCTGGCATTAGGGTATTCAGCTTATAGTTTATTATCACTTACAGAAAGAAGACAGTTTTTTGCCACTGTTCCTAAACATAGATCTGCTTGTAGGTTTCCTTAACCTCTTACAGAATGTTTGTTCTTTTCGATAAGGAATGTTCAAATCTCCTTTTCAGGTCCTGTCTTTCTCACTGGCGTTGCTCCTGAGGTTGTGGCTTGATTTATAGATTGCAATCTGATCTCTGAGAGGGAGTTGCATGTCTGATTTCTCTAAGTTGCATATAATCTTCATGTTCAGCTTCAGATAAGTCAGGTGTAGTGAGTCAATCTGAAGATGCCAGAGGCACAGCTTACTGTGGATAGGCTCAGAGGAAAGGACATGTTTTCTAGGAAGCTAAAAGGCAAATATTTTTTTTTTTAATTGATGCTGTTTGGTAGCATTAGCTGAGCAGGAGTCACCAGGAGCAGGTGGGTTTGTATAGTTTTTCTGGGTATCTATGTCATTGATAGAAGAGTGGTGACAAGGTCTTCGTGGGTCTTCAAGCATTTCTTGTTGCTGAACAGTGTTGGTTTCAGCTGCCATTGGCTCAGCTTGGAAAAAGGAGAAAAGTTCCACAACCCAGAACTGATGTTGTAGGGACTCATGAAGTTGAGGCTTGCTGGCTGAAACACATTTTGAAGTAATAACATGAACCAGGAGGTATGGTGCAATAGGTGGGGGACTTCAAGGAAGAGAAATTGTCAGCTGCCAGTGTGCTCTAACTTGAATCAAAGGGAAAGACTAGAGTAATATTGCCAGGCCATTACCTACTGCTTTATCACATTAGTGTGTTGGCAGCTGTCGTATCCCAAGAAATAGGACAGTGAAAAGTATACAGACTGGGAGAATGAGGGGTATGTGAGTGGGGCAGCAGAGGTGGAAAAATGAATTATTTTCAATATTTTCCTTCTCTCTTCTAAAGAAAAGGATATGGCCAGTGTTTTAGAAACAGATTTTTGCTCTGGTATTGACAACTTCTTATGGACTTTTTATTTTTTTAAAAAAATATTTTTTATTTTATTTTTATTCTTTCCCCTCCCCCCTTCCCTTTTAATACTTACATGCACACACCTGACTTGGATGTTTCATTTTTGGTTTTGGTAGAGTAATTCTCTGCAATTCTTAGCATACATTTTTCAATGCTATATCTGAATATAAGAAACCAGAGGCAAGCTTGGGTTTTTGTTTAAAAGGAAGTCTATGTCTGGCTTTCGTCTGGTATCTTACTCTGAGCTTTTTCAAGCTCAATACTGTACATACTTCTGGTACATACTGGCATTGTTTTTTAAAGGGTTAATGACCCTCCGAATGAAAATACAATTAAATACTCTGTGGTGCTACTGTAAGATCTCAAGTTTTTTCTTCTCCTCTATGTTATTTTTCAGATATGCTGTAAAACCAAGTTAGCAGATCTTCTACACCTGTCTACTTTCTAAAGAGTCATAATTAATTAATCACATGGTTTATTCATATCATATTTGAAAGAAAACTTTTAGCCTGTCTGCCAGCGTTGATGTTGTAAGAAATCTCAATGGATATTTGAAAAGTGTCAGATTTTCTACATGCAAAGCCATGCAGTACTTTTCAGCCTCACTAAGCTGAACGAAGACAGACCAGGTGCTTTGAGAGCCTTTCATGACACAAATTTAATCCTGTAGCCTCAGAAGGTCTGGATAAATGTCCATCCTTTATGTGCTTAACCAAGATAGACCTCTCAACCTTTGGGTACTGTCTCCACCCTTTCTTATAATATGAATATGATCCACCAACATAAATGCTTTTCTTTCTGTTCACTAAAGCATTCTTCAAATACATGAAGTCCACACTGCATAGCAGTAACCTTTAGCTGGGCTAAATATACTCGCTCAAAAACTGAATTTAATTGGAGTATTTTCTTGGGACTTAAAAGTACATATTTTGTGTCCTTTAACAGCCTGAATGTGTCAGGCTTTTCCCTGTGTCATCAGTTGCTCAGTATATGTATGCAGGCTTCAGTAGGTCAAAAAGCTGCTGGGAAAAGCTGACAGTGCTTGTACCAATGTGGCCACTCAGCACAGCGGTGTTAGAGGGCTTCTCCCCACAGATCAGATTATTGCATGGATTTGGATTAGCAAATTGCTCTAGCTGTAATCTGACACAAGTCACAGCAGTGTGGGGGATCAGAGGCTGGTAACTTGCCTTCAATCACTTGTGTAGGGCTTCTGCTCAGGCTGTGAAATGAAAGGCTGAGGATGGACAGGGCAGGAAGGACTAAGAACCTGCAAGGCATAATGTAATAAAACAAATGGCTTGGTTCCAATCTAAGTACACTGTGCTACATCTGTGTTTGTCAGGGCTCTGAGCATTGTTCCATGTAATCACTTTCTGGTTCATCCTGAGCCAGCATTCTTACAAAAAATAGAAGTCACTTCCATTTGATGCTGGTGTCTGTGGCTGCTGTTGTTTTAAAGTTACTTATTTCTATTGCAGATGAGCCTTGTGGTCTGGCCTGAGGTCAAGCAGAGTCATGTTTATGGCTGTTGTGAGGGAGGCAGTGGTACAGAGGGAGTCTGGATCAGATTCCTAGTAAAACTACAGACTCCCCCTCTAAGATTATGGGAGTCGGTGTCGTCTTCTTTTCCTCATTTGTGCAATATCTGCAGTGAGCTTAGCACCACCTGCTTTTTACCCCCTCTCCCCCCTTCATTATCTTCAGAGGATGCTCCTTCCTTATATCTCCTGGCACATTTTGTCTCTCCAAACTCAGTTCCTTCATACTCAAAATAATAGACTTTCTAACCAGGATCATTCTAATGGTGTCAGAATCTAACTAAAGCTTCTGGAGCAGCTCTGCTGGGAGACCTGAGGGACTAGTAATTTTTGTCAGTGGAGTGAGGAAAATTTACAAACAACTTGAATTGACACTGCTCACCTTCTGCGCAGCTGCAGCCAGAATGGTGTATGTGGCCCTAATCTAGGAGAGTCTCTCTGATTTGAAAAGTCAACAGTCGAGGTTAGCAGAGATGAGAAAAATCAGACATCAGAAAGATGTAGTTGTGTGGAAAGAAGCAATTCATTATACCGGAAAGTAAGTCAAAGCGGGCTCCTCTTTCTCCTGTGCATGATAGCAAAGGCTGGGCATTCCTTGCTCCTTGCTCAGTGTGCCATAGGAATTAAAGTCCTATTCTAATGACAAAGGATTTATCCAGTAGCCCAGTCTGACAATTTGCTGTATATGTGAGCCCTCTTATTCACAGCATTAGACAGTCCAACTTTTCTACCTTACTGTGCACTTTTCGGTTCTCTGAGACAGTCATCATCCCTGTGCATCTTTCCTGTGCACATACCTAATTGTTGCTGGGAGACATAGAGCTTGTCCTGAAATTTTAGAAGATGCTGAAAATAAAATGGACTGTCAGATCCAAGGGGAAACTTTTGCAAATTAAACCATCTTAGTGTATATCCTTTATTCCATGCTTGAGAAGGAGAGCATCTGATGTCTATGCCATCCATTTCAACCAGTTTGATCTTATTACGTTCACTGCACAGGGTGGGTCTGTCTGATCCATCATTAGTATGCTACTCCATATAATTTATATTTATCTCCTTATACTGTGATTAGCTTTATTTCCCAATAAAAAGTAAATAAATTCACTGGTTGCTATATTTTCAGATATTTTTCATCAAGATTAGGTAACTCAATGCTAAAATGGTTATTCATTTATTATGTTTACTTTCTAACAGTGCATCTATTAAAGGCAAATACACAACCATTAGTATGTAAATTTAACTTGGATATCTGAACAAACGAGGTATAGCCTGAACTATGATTTATTGTCTAATTAGTTTTACCGTAATTGAAGATATAT